TATATATTTAAAGTATGTGTATTCCGTGACAATTTCTCATCAATGGATAAACCTAATTTTTTATTCATACACGAGAATTTATTGAAATTGAGCCTCAATTCATGTTAATTAGGCCAAATGAGAATTCCATCCAAATCATTCTTCATATCATTTTTAATTTTTTTGTAAGTGTCTGAGAAATGTATATAATAGTAGTATCATCAGCAAATAATTTGATTATACCATTCAATTTCAAATTGACTAGAGAATATACTGTGGTCAACTGAATCAAAAGCTTTGCACAAATCGAAAGACAAGAGACAACATTTCTTATTTTTATAAACTTCAGTTTGAATTTGTCACTCTACATCCATCTCTGTGTCGCTAGATCTACGAAAACCATATTGACCTTTATATAGAAGGTTATTGTTTTCAAGATAATTCAAACGCCTTGTATGTATCAGTTTCTCAAAGATTTTTGCAAATACTGTAAGCACAGAAATTGGTCGATAATTGTTTGAATGGTTTCTTTCGCCACTTTTATATATGAGAGAAATCTTTGCAGTTTTAATTTCGTTTATTATTTTTATACAAACGAAATGGTTGAAATCTTTTTTTTTTCAAGAACAAAATTTGAACAAAAACACCCCAAATTGCACAAATTTTTCAGCTTGAAAATTATTTTTATTATTTTTGCAGCCCCTCTATTGGAAAACACAGTCCATGACAAACCGCAAAAAGAGGACTACAGAAGCGTTCAGTTATTGGGTCTGATCTTAGAACTCTTGTCTTTTTGCGTAGAACATCACACTTACCATATCAAGAATTGTATTCTCAACAAGGATTTACTTCGAAAGATATTGATCTTGATGAAATCAACACATAAATTTCTTGTCTTATGTGCTTTGAGATTTATGCGTAAACTAGTATCATTGAAAGATGAATTTTACAATAGGTATATAATAAAAGGAAATCTTTTTGCACCTGTTGTTGAAGCATTGATTAGAAATAATGGACGATATAATCTCTTGGATTCTGCCATTATTGAAATGTTTGAGTTCATAAAATCAGAGGATGTCAGAACTCTTGGTGCACACATAGTTGAAAACTATGGCAAATGTCTCGATCATATTTCCTATGTTCAGACTTTCAAAATATTGAAAGGAAAATATGATCCCAATCAGGAGAAAAAAGACAAGGAGAGAGAACGAAACAGTTTGGATGGGTAAGTGACTCAAACTACCAAATGGGAGAATGTTGAAAATTATTTTTTTTAGGGTTCCTTCGATATTGAGGAGTAGTCGTTATCGTAGAGATCAGAGGCAGATGGAGGAAGAGGAGGAGATGTGGTTCAATGAAGAGGACGATTTTGAAGATAGTGAAACAGTACTACCGACTACTAATGATATGCTGACCAAAAAACTTGATACAGATCTCGACAATATCGGGAAGATAATTGAGAAAAAACAACCAGATACAAATGGACCTAAAATTAACAACAATTCTACACAAAAGTCAGTAGTGCTCAATAACAATGCCAACGCTGTTGGCGGACAACCCACAGCAAACATTTTGCCTAGTACAGAAAATAAATCACAGTTATTCAAAAGGGTAAGTGAAGTTACAGATTTCATTATTTTCAGGTGCACCTCATTTCTTATCAACTATTGAATAACTTTTTCCGGGATCAATTGCCCTAACACCAAACTGATATTTTTGCACTCGACGCACGTTTCGCCAACAAAGTTAGCATCCTCAGGAGAAGAAAATTGATGTCTAGTCTGGTTAATCCTCATATACTAAAATTTGTTACCCGAGTATATAAGGCAAGTATATATCCAAAAATATCAAAGCACAAACTGGAAGAAAAACCATTCTGAAACAGTTACTTTCATATTACCATTGAATTACAAGAAAAATGAAAGAATTGACATTGTAATCGACATTGTAATGACATTGATTCGCTTATTTGATTAAATACCAGCCAAAGGAATCTTTTGTATCAAGATGGAGTAGTAGAAAGCCAAAAACTTTCCCAAAAATTAATCGTTCCTAAAAGTATAACCCTTTCAATTTAAATATAGTATATACTATTATAAATAGCCCTGCTGCATCAATATATTCTTCAATTGTTGTCTGTACTCCAGTAAGAATTTTTTAGTTGATTTTGAATCCAAAGATTTGACAGGGAGGTACAGGCAACAGAACAAATTTTAATTTGAAGAAATTTTTTGGCAAACTGCCAGTCTATACCTAGGAATGTACAATAATTCTGTACATCTTTTAGAATAATCACGGTCTTTGTAGTTTTTCATAAAATTCTTGACATTTTTATGGAGATCTAATGATATAGCATAACAATACATGGTAGGTTAGTTGAACAGTGGTATTTGAGGATATATCAATATTTTGAATTCTTTTATTGTTCAGTTTTAGTTTATTGGAATTAAAACAGGTGTTTACTAGATTCTTGGTTTTATTCAAAAAACGAGATTTCAAAATTACCATTTCATTCAAAGAATTAGTTTTTTTATCCAATTACTTGAATGTAAAGGAATGGACTTTCTGATTTCTCCAACAAATTCGACAGAAATAAAGACACCAATTTGTTACAATTTTTCTGATTTTCTGAAACAAACATAAATGAATGGGGTCATTCTTTGGGATTGAAACTTTGCACCTTTTACATTATTTAATGTCAAGGCTACAGTTGACGCAATAGTATAGGCTCTTATACCGACTTTAAGCATGGGATATTAAAGTTAGTGTATTGAAAAAAACCTTTTTCCCGCACCATAACAAAATATTATCTCTTGAAGTGTATATCGCTAACCAAGTGTTGTAAAATTCTACATAACAAGATGTCAAAGTTGGTTTGATTTTCATATTCAGATTCTAGTTCATTCAAGTACTGAAATGGCATTNAAATTGTTCGAGTCTTGATTCGCCCAGTTTTGGAAAAAATATTCTGGTTGAACTATTACGATAATTAAAAACTGTATTTCTTAAATATCCTGTATATTGATGAATAATTCAAAAAAGCTCCAGCTTTCTATTGAAGTTAGTTGTGACAGACATTTACTGGTGATTCAGTTTCAATTCTAGTTCATGCTTGTAACCTCTGAATATTGGTATATTCTAACTTCCATTGTTCTTCTGAAACTTTTTCTCAAACACTTTCAATTGAAGAAAATCTTATCCATGGAAAGTTCTGGACTCATAGCACATCATGGAAGGATATGGAACAGACGAATTCCAATAGAAAACAAGGCAGTAGGTTGGAGCAGAATAGTGGTTTGTCAAGCAAATGTTTCTGAGAATAACGAAGAGAGGACTAGTTTGTTATTTTAGTTTGTTGTGACACATATTCTTGAACCCATAAAAATTGTTACAGTATTAAAGAAAGATTATGTTTTTGAGATCATTTCACTACTATAAACTTAACAGCTTACTCTATATGTGTCTACAAGCGTTACTAATTCTATAATTGTCGATAAGTTTATCAAACTGATATGATAAAAACATTGCAAAATTGAAAATCAATTTTTTGATTTTAGGGTTTGGTTGATTATGAAGGTGGTGATTCGGATGAAGATGAAGAAGAGAGTGGAGAGATAACAAAAAGGCCGAGACTCTCATAGTCTAATAGACAATCCGCAGGTAAGTACGTTACGAACTGTAGTGACGTGCGACCAAGTGTGATCTCATAGTTGAAAGTGTACACAACATGAACAGTCAATTATTATATCCAGTGTTAACTGCAGTTATCCGTAGTTATGGAAAGGCGACTGTTATGTTATTCATTGTATTGTATTGAGGAGTCTCATATTTCTTCTGAGGGAACTAGTACAATCCTTTGACGACATTTATTTATGTTTGGTGTACAAGAGAAAAACGTGTTTATGTTGTCATAGGTCCAAAACGACTATTATGAAAGCACAATTTTTCAAACTTCCGATTGTATACAAAGTATTTGTTTATTGTAATGTACAATTCACGGATTTCTGTCTGTTTATAAATAAAACAAAAGGAGAGATTCAGTTCCATGTATATGAAATTAGGATTTTTTATCGCAAACTATTTATATATATGAAGATATATATGAGAAAGTTATTATCTATCTCTTAAAATGAAGTAAAATTGAAATAGACATATAATGAAATTTTTTTTTGTAAATAATTTCACCATGGATTTTAGGAAATAATTTATCATTTTTTTAAGAGACTGAATAATAATATTGCAGGTTTCCACTGTTACCTTTTGATTTGAATTATAAACATCAAATATTTTTGGAATGTAATTAACATGATGTATTAAGAGGCAGAAAGGAGATTATCATTAAAAGTGTATGAATCATTTCCGCACTTGGGTTCGTTTCATTTAGGTACTCTTCATATGTTTTATGTTGGACCAGTAAAGAATTTTTTTCACCAAAGAAAAGAAATAATATCTTACATGCAGAGATGATCTTTAAGGATTGCTACTTTATTCACAATCATTTGACAAACAATTTATCAATTATGTATAGTGGATAAAAAATAATTATTGCAACATTACAATAAAAAATGGAGCTGCGTATGACAGAATAGTTGCAGTCCAAAAAGTATATGCTTCAATCCGTTCGTGATAGAAAAACTTAAGACTTCCATACCTTTCAGGAAGTTTCAATCAGCACTACACACAATCTATCGATATGTTTCCAAATTATAATACCCCCTAATTTATTTCAAAAAGGTTGAATTTACATACTCAACTCATAAAATCGAGTATGTATATCATCATATTGAGATTTAAAGTGATTTATTAAAACGTGCATTGTCTTCAATTTATGATGATTGAGTGTATTTAGCTATAACTGTTTTAAATATATTATTATTATCATTACTGTTATTATTATTATTAACAACACTATTTTGAATATTTAATAGTTTTTAGTATGTTAAGAAACAAGGTTAGAGAATCCAATCAAAGGGTAGGTTTTTTATGAACTCATAGGATATGTTGTTTTTACACTTTCTAAGAACTGCATGAGCCTTTTCTGAGGTGATTGGAGAGTCAAGGTAGGGGTGGTAAGCATCATTAAATAAAACATTTATAGTCGATCCAGATGCATCTTGCAAAATTTTTCCCATATCTGTAAGGTTGGACAATTTAGTAATAATTTCACGATTATATTCTTTTTTCTATTTATTCAGTAGATGGTTATACTTATTGTTAATTCAAAATGGTTGGTAATATTGGTAAAATTTTCTTTTCGCCAAATATTCAAAAACGTTTTTTCAAATATTTCTTAGCCTGAAGGCAGATTGAATCAAACCACAAATACTTTTTGTTCAAAATGATTGAATTGTGTAAGTCAGTTTTTTCAGCACTTTGTCATATTGATGTACATATGTTAATATGTGATTTTTGTATTTCTGAAACATTGTTACGAAAATTTGACAGAAATATTATGCATAGCCATTATTTGATATATGATTTATATCTTGGAGAACCATGCTTCATATATCTACTTTACGTCCACCGTCGGAGTAAAATAAAAATTTTTCATTGGGTTTGAAGATTCGGCCATTCTCAGCATATATTCGAATGATTGTGAATAAAATAAAACATTCAAATTTGAATGAAAAAAAGATTTACTCATTATTTGGAGGAAATTATCAAAGAAGTATCAACAAGATTTTATTTTTAATTTGAGCGTTTCAGATCATTATATATTGGAATTGAATGATTGAATTTTTGTTGGTATGTCATAATCTAAAGTATAGTTTTTTTCAGTATAATATTTCATTGTATTGTATTGAGGAGTCTCATATTTCTATTTGTGTAATTTGGATCATTATAAATTTTCAAAGATTTTTTTGTGTTGTATGTGGTCATTCATTAATTATCAGGACAAAATTTCAAAGTTCCCATAAAATGAAAGTATGTGAAATTTTATTTTATTATTTGAAGAAATGAGTATTCAAAATTAGTTTATGGTATAAATTTAAATGGTTGGTAAAACTCTGACCGAATTGAATAGTTCTTTATTAATTGACAACATTACATCCACGTCTTCAGTTTTTTGTGTATTTTGAAATCATAATCCTGGTAATGATCCACCTTTTTTCATAAGTTGTGCCTGACCAAAACTTTTTTATTTAATCACCTTTGTTTATTAATAAGACATCTTGAGTTTATTCGACTGGCTAGTCTTTTTTCTCACGAAGAAATTTGAATTGAATTGTGTTTGGAAAATGTTAATGCTTATAATTTAAAGATATTGTACTGATCATTTTGAAAATTTGTCTTTTATTCGCTTGCAGTATGTTTTAAAGGAAAAAAAAACAGAACTGCATGGCTATGAAATTTCAGGTTATGTTGTTGAGTAGATTTGGTTGCCAAACTAAACTAATTTAAAATAATATTGTGTAATTTTTACATCGACATTTTTGCGAAACATTTGGAAGTGATGTTATTCCTCCAAAATGACTTCTGCCAGAGGTTTACGATGTATTTTGTTTGCTAATTATAGACCTATTGAAATGAAGAAAATGTCTTATTATCGATTTTTACCTAAATTGATACAATGGAAGTTTTCCATTTGATTGTTATTTTTTATGTTCTGATATTTTTATAGTGATAAATTTTAACCTGACACGTTTGAATGAAAGAATCTGAATTTTTTCTAATTTTTTTAGGTAAAAATCTTTTGGGGATTTCCGTTTTGATGTTTATAATTGGCCTTTGAAGGGTAAATGTTACAAAATGTTCATAAAGATGAAGCTGTAGAGAGCATTGTGAAATTTAAAGTAGATTAGGATATAATATCTAGAAGTAGATAGTATATAGATTCGAATTTATTGTCTAAAAAATGTGTGTAGTGTCATTGGAGTGCTTAGATTTGTACAATACACCTACTTCGTACTGTTCACTGGTCCTTCTTAACATCAAACGTATATTTTCCAATAATTTTTATCGATATATGTAAAAATTATCCATTTATTTGGATGACTCACGTTTTAAAGAATGTAAAAGAGTTGTATACAGCAATTTTGATAAGTTGTAGGCATTTTCTTTACTGAAGCCAAGCAGTATGAAGTATATAACGTAGACTAAAGTATTATATTCCCAACTATCATTTTGTAACTATTGTGATGTTTCAATTTTGTATTAATTTTCCAGAATTCAACTCGATATTCATTCACTTGTCGAATATTTTGCACAATTCCATCGAAAGAAACCAAACAAGATTTCATATGGCAATGTTTTTCAGGAATAAACATTGAAAGAAGCTGATGAACTGAAATTAAAACCATCTTCTTGTTTGGATGCTCAGCTGAAAGCTGAACATCCATCCAATAAGCCCCGTTAGTTGAAGGGTAGGTTCATTTGAAAATTCAAAAAACGAGTCGCATTAGTGACATTGGTTTATATATTTAACAAAAATTTGACTATCAGTAGAATTAATCTTGACTTCTGTTGAGAACTATATGTCTCTTCCTAAAAACGAAGCAAAAATATATATTTGTTTATAAAAAGAAAAATTTATAATCAAGGTTAGAGAATCCAATCAAAGGGTAGGTTTTTTATGAACTCATAGGATATGTTGTTTTTACACTTTCTAAGAACTGCATGAGCCTTTTCTGAATTTCAATTCAGTAGTTGCCTGATTGAGAATTTGTTTGTTTTCATGAAATTTGTGTCAAGTATTGGATCAGATGTTGAAATATTCGAAAAATATTGTAAATACTATTTATTACCAATTAGCTATGTTCGCTCAACAGTAATACAGCAATATTCGAAAAACATCATCAAACATTAGCTTAAGAGAATGAATTACATATAACTAAGGACAACATTCGAAAAGGTACGTAGAAAAGGAGCGGATATACAATTTATTCAAATAATTTTCAAAAGTTACTCAAGTCACCTTGGTTACCTTCTAACGAACCCATAGGTACTTATTTTTATAAAGTTGTGCAACTTTTGAATGATGTATAATTTATTACGAAGTGGCAGCCTTATCATATTTTTTATACAAACCATATGTTTCGGAAACCACAGATGAAAAGGCCATTTTATAATCTTTCTTTTTCATGTAACAGATCAATGTTTTTGGAAAAAATGTAAAATAAAAATTGTACTCGTTATATTTAGGTAATAAATATAAGAGAAAATATAGTATTTTTATTTTTTGCCAGCAACTACCTCCGCTTTCAAACGATCTGCCAGGGTTTTACGCAACTGAAGCTGTTGATACTCAATACTAGGATTTACACCTGTCAGCACTGCTTGGGCCGCTTTGGCTGATTTGGGCCTGGATTTGGATTCATCTTTGGAACCCTTGTCAACATCGAGTTGCTTACGTCTAGCTTCTTTTTTCAGCGCTACAAGCTTGTCTCTTTGAGCTCTCAAGTATTCTTGTCGTTTTTTTACCTCCAATGAGTCGATCTAAATAAAATTAGTTTTAGTATTTCAATAAAACATTTGAATATGAACATACTTTTGGTTCTTGTTTTTCTATTTTCGCTTCTGTCTCAACTTTCTCTTCATGTTTTCCAATTTCTGGTTTCTCTTTTGGCTTGTCAATCATGTCGGCTTGTTCTAAATGTAGTAACAAAAGTATTATTTATTATTTTTTTATATCAGCAAATGTAATACCTTTTGTTTTCTCCAGCACCTTTGCCAACAATTCCTTTTCCTCTAGAATACTTCCTACCTCAATGAAAGAAGTAGAAGGTTCCTCTGTGGAGAAGTTCCTAAAAGGGATTCAAATCAATCAAAATTTTTTTTGACGTTGAAAATATAGAAGACACTCATGAAATATAAAATATGAAAACAAATTTAAAATTGCTAACAGTACACTACAAATTCAGTAATCACGATCGAAAATCATGGTACAAAAATTACGTCCACAATCACATTCACAAAAAATTTAATATTTTTATCCACTTCTTTTTTCATTTTTATATAGTGAGTTTTAATTTCAATATCATCAGTTCTTTTCCTTAACCAGTCTAAGTGTTTTAAGTTTTCTGAGTCCTTTTTCAATTTGTCTGATATTGAATTGGTGATAAGATCTTTGAGTGTTCTCCTGAATTACATGAAATTATTTAATCCCCTAATCGGCAATGACAGGTTATTATACAGTTTTAGCATGTTATATACATTATTTTCAATCGTATTGTTGGTTGGTAATGCCAGTTTCAGATTTTGTGATATAATATTGTATTGTTGAATCTTTCTCGATTACTATGAACTAAGCAGGCAGTTTCTAAATCAAAAAGCGAACAAACTGTCTATAATCCATTGCTTTTAAGTATTGATCGACATGAATATACTGATATTAAATTGCAGAAGTCCCTGAGAGCTCTTTTTTGTAAGACTAAAACGGCTTGCATGAGTCGCTTTGTTGTGTATGTTTGTTATGTAAGTTTTCAAATGGAAAGAGGGTCTTGTGATGCCTACTTTAACCAATTAACTAATCAATACTTTTTTTTTGGAATAGAATTAGCCGTTCCCTAGTGATTAACAGTTTTATATTCGAACCTGCAAACAAATGACAAATATGATTTCAAGAAAAAATGTACATATTCGAAACTTATTCCAATAAATATTTAAAATGTGTACCATCTCCTCCTTGACAATAATGATCTCTGTTTGCAAATTCATTTCCTACATTATGAAATGTTCCTGGGGTATTTTCATTGCAAGCGCCTCTTTTTTATCCACTAGTTCTGAAAATAAACTGTGGTTGTGTATCCTACACTTCAGATGTTATACACAAAGAAGGTGAATGTTCGATTAGCGATTTTTCAATTTCTTTTATTTTGGTACACTCGTCTCGAACATATGTTCGCAATTTCAGCTGTTTAGTTTGATAGTGAGAGGCATAAAAGTTGAAAGTGTTTTGCGTGCTCGGTGATTTTTCTGCTATCGAAAAAAAATTTATCAAAGAATTTGCATCATCAGGAGTTCTTGCCACATAGTTGTACAGTCAATAGTGATTATTATCTTAAAGTGAAGGCACCGCTTGCGAGAAGCAATACGAAGAAATCGACCGGTATGGCTTTTGCATCACTATAATGCACCTGCTCACTCGTCATTCCTTGTTCGTGATTTTTGGGCCAAAAACAACACCGTAATCATGCCTCAGCCCTTGTATTCACCAGATTTGGCCCCCTGCGACTTTTTCCTGTTCCCAAGATTGAAGATACCCATGAAAGGACGGCGTTTTGCGACGAATGAGAAGATAACCGAATCCCTGAGAGAGGACATACCAAAATATGCATATCAGAACTGCTCCGAGAATTGGAGAAAAGCTGGCACAAATGTGTTATATCTGAGGGAGGACACTTTGAAGGAGACAAAATAAGAATTAATGAATAAATAAACATTTTTTCCTACTCCGGGATGAAAAGTTCGTTTTTCGTTTCCTGTATCCGGGAGAAAAGTGCCTCGTTCTCTCCCGGTTAGACAACACTTACACACATGCCCATAACTTACTTTTCCTCTCGGTAACCTAGCGACGAATTGTTTATCAAACTGTCTATGACACTTGAAATACGTGACGACAGTTGAATTTTTATTCTTTGATTAACGCTTAATCAAGTTGAAAATGGTGTGTTGAAAGAATCGAACTTTTCATCCCGCAGTGAGAAAAAATTGTATACGCACCACTGCTGAAAAGTACGACATCCTCGCCCGCGATTTTGATCAGATACTATTCCATTGCTAGTGAACGTAGCCTAAACAGTGAACAAAATTATTCTTAAGAAATGTCTATTATTTTAAAAATTCCTTTGGGCCCAATAACAGTAATATAATCGTTTATATTCGTCACCTTTCAATGTATTTAAAAGGTTTAATTTTATGACGAACGAGACATCTGATTTTCTCTCGACTCAAATTTAATTGCTCAGACCTTTCACGCAAACTGATTTGGGGATTGCCACCAATTGATGCTAATCCGATTTCCAGAAACGAAAAATTTTTGGATAGAGAACCGAAATATACAGTGTGTAAAAGCCAAATGGAATAAATTCATATTTTTACATATTTTAACAAAATCCCGAAACACGTCAAATTTGAATTATAATTTGGCATAATCAACGGAAAAATGCTACCCCTACCTTCAACCCACGTCGGATGACAGATACAACCCCCAATTTTTTAAATGGGAAGTATGGGCTTGTGATATATCGTTTGAAAGGTCTTTTCATTCTCTATTCAAAAATGTTATGGCTTCCAAGTTTATTGCAACAATTAATATAAAATAAATTAAAACCATGTGGTTGCCGAAATTCGATAAAATACAGTCAAAACTTATTTCATGTTGAGATATTGGTAATAAGAAAGTAAGCAAAAACCATAGCAATGTTCTTTTCAGATGGTATCCTTTAAAACACTGTAAATAATTTCCGTGGCGAGTTTAGTTTAAAACGCCTTGTCAACTTGTTTTGTATAACCAAAAGGCTCTGTAGTGTATGACTTGTTTTAAAAACCACCTTCATACCTAGTTCCTTGAAAATCTTTCCAAAGTTCCTCGTATATTGGTGGTATGGAACTGAGATGTACGTATCTTGGTTTTTGTCCTTTCTGAAAGTCGAGATTTCGTTCATTCTTAACCTAAACGTCTTCCTTATTATGTCATCTGTTGTATGTTACAACAATAGTTGTCAGTATTTTAATTTAAGTTTAAAGTTCGTTAACTTCAAGTTTAACAAATGGTTAGATTAACGGAAATGCATAAAATACCAGTTTTAAAATGATTGGTTACGGAGATAAAACTCGAACACAACAGAAAGTAGCTCGCCTATTTCATGAGAAATTTCTTAATTTACCGCCCGTATCTCAAGGAACAATAAACAAAATAGAGAAGCAGTTTCGCGAGCTTGGTCATGTGGGGCAGTTAAAAAAGCAGCTGCCAATGTAATGAGTGATGAACTCAAATTAGATGTGATGCTTGAATTTAAGGAAAACACACATACATCGATGAGTAGACTGGCATCCACTACATTCAATGTTAGCCATACATCTGAAGTGAACATATCAAAAGAAAATAAAATACATAAAATGATACCTACTCAGGAGCTCATAGAAGACTATTTTGATAGAACTCATTTTTGTGAGTAAAAAATTGACATTTTGGTAACAATATCATCCAATTAGAAGACCTTATGTTTTCGGATGACTGTACTTTGTCTCTTAACGGTCATGCTAATCGACAAAATTGCCGCTACTGTGTGTTCTTCACTGGATGAGTGAAGAACACACGCAATACCCTCAAAGGGTTAATGTTTGGCAGGGATTGTAGGAAACCATATCATTGGTCCCTTTTTCATTGAGGGCAACTTGAATGGCGATAATTATTTGGCACTACTTCAAAATGATGTCATTCCAAGTTTAGCAAATTTATATCCTGATCCAGGAAACCCCCAAGTTCCAGTGTATAAGATATGATTTCAGCTGGAAGGAGCGCCACCACACAACCAAGTTAATGTCCGGCAATACCTCGATACAATTCCCAATCAATGGATAGATAGGAAAGCGAGGATCGATTAAATGACCAGCGCGATCACCTGATCTTTCATCATTAGATTTCTCTTTATGGGGATATGTAAAGAGCAATGTGCACAAAACTAAACCTTCAGATTTGAATGACTTGAAAGAACGAATAACGCTTGCGATTAGGTCGGTCACGCCTGATATGTTGAATAATGTAAGAAAACAGTTTTATTTGAGAATCGGATGTTGCCAAGACGTTCGCCGTGAACATTTTGAGCATCTACTTCGTAAACAACCATAGTTCTTTTTTCGTATTCTACATTTCATTACGTTTTGCATTACATTTTAATTTTTGAATGTATTTTATCGAATTTTGATAACTATACGATTTTAATTTATTTTATCTTAATTGTTGCAATAAACTTGAAAGCGACAACATTTTTGAATAAAGAATGAAGAGACCTTTCAAACGATGTATCACAAACCTATACTTACCTTTAAAAAATTGGGGGTTGTACCTGTCATTCGACGAGGGTTGAAGGTAGGGGTGGCATTTTTACGTTGAAGAATGTCAAATTATAATTTACATTTGATGTGTTTCGGGATTTTTTTTAAATATGTACAGTAACCGAAATAATGAATATATTCCATTTTGCTTTTACACACTGTTGTATATAAGACAAAGCACACAAGACCCTCATTTATATTTGGAATAAAAAGTTGGTAGCGCCTTTTCGACGACGAGTGATGCAACACCATTGTATTTATCAAAAAGTAATGAAAAGGATCAATACCATTTTACTTGAAATTTGTCCGACCTTGATAACTTGTCCCTTTCAAAGGTTAAAAGTAGGGGACTATTTACGTCCGCAGTGTATTGATGTTTGCAGAAAATTCTATAACACTGAAGAAAGTTACAACTCACTTTGAAACCTCTTCCATAACTTCATTTTCCATATCAGAGGACTTTTCTATGATGATGGGTATTTCTTTAACATTATCGTCCTTATGTTTTGGAATAAAGGATTGAGGAGTTATGCCATATTTTTGTTCAATTAGTTCTAGAGCTTGCAATTGCAATTCCACATTTCTTTGTGTCATGATTCTCCTGAATATTTCGTAGTCGTTTGCGGCCCATATTTGCTCAAATAAATTCTGGAACGGTAGGGTTATTCAGTTAAAAAAAAGGGTGTTAGAATGTGATTGACAGTGTTTGTTGCTTAATATGTTAGAATGTTAAAAAATAATTGAAATATTTAAAATACCATAGTCTAACAAATAATTGAAGAAGGCGATTTGTAGACGATCACGTGAAAAGCTCTGCAGTATTCGCCTGGAATCACATAATGGTCAGTTGAAAACCTCGTTTTCTCAATAATATGAAACACAGCAAGCGCCAAACGTGATGGCGAGCTCGCCCCAATGCGCACAAACTTATTTTCAATGTAATCCCCACTAAAGCTCATGTAAAACATAAAAATGCTCTGTACATGGTGTATCAATACTTGTCTTCCAATGTTGTTGGCGTTTGACATCGTCTGAATAATTTGTGTTGTTTCTAAAAAAATGTCAGGGCCTAGCAAAAAAACAGTCATCTAGAGTCAGGCACGTGGAATAATTTTTTAAGTGTTCAGTTATTACCAAAGTGTTAATGCTAGTCGGATACGTTGTCAAATGTGAAAAATAAAACATGTCTCGCTAAAGGTAACATTAGGTATATAAATTTAAACAGTAACTATTTCAACACAACTGCGTCAGGCACGTTGGCCTTCAGTATTTCCTGGTAAGTAATTTCCATGCATTTGCTTAAGCAATTGCCAAATTTCTGTCATCATATCCCGATACAATCAGTATTTTTTCTTTATTTGATTAAACTTTATTGCTACTGAGGTGGGAAGGATTGTGATTGATGAAGAGACAGTATTTTGTTCTGGTTTGAAAAAAGTGTTTTAAACACTCATTCCACACCAGAGGTTCCAATTCTAGAAGTTTACCTTTTCTCCACCTGTGTAGAGTTCTCTATTGAAATTTTAATTTTTTCAGATTGTGGAAGGTGAAAATACACAAAAAGGAAAATGGTTAACAGTGAAACTATGATTTTCTGAAACAATTCAAATATTTGCCCCCGTAGGAATTTTGATTTATAAAAGTAGGTATATCTGAAATAAAATTTCT